AGGCTAGGCACAGGTTTCCATGATGCTTATGAACGATTATTCAGCGGTATTGATATGATGGTAGGATGTTTGCCTACGTGTCGAGGCAGTGAATGGCTTGAAGGAAAGTTTACTCAGTGTATGATCTAGAGATTCGATATTTTATTCCCGGAAGGGGACAGACAATCGGGCTGAGAATGTTCAGGTTTGGGTTGATGGGGTAACAAGACTTGGTAGTTGCGGGCATGGTGGAGTTTTCTTCTATGATGAGGTGTCGTTGTCCTTATTGAATGTACTAAGTTTGCCGGTCTTATGATCTTCTACAACTCGCCTTTGGAGCAGGATATTGCGGGACAGTATTGAAGAAGCAACGGTCAGAGATCGCGGGGTGCGGTGGTTCAGGATGGAATCGGTGTTCCTAGTGTTGTTGGCTCGAGAAAGATGATCTTTGGAAAGGTTTAAAGTTAGTAGCGATTGGTGGGTTCAAGTGCTACGAAGATAGATTTTTTAAGGCAACAATTGAGCAGCAAAGTATGAGGAAGGACATGTGGGAAGTGTCAGGCGGTGTTTAAAACTTCTAGAAGGCCAGGTATAAGAAGCGCAGGTCGAGTAGTTGATCAAGAGAAGCGATTTTGCCCAAAGTGGGAGAGTGGCGGAGCTGCATAGGGGCTTGGTGGTAGGATGACTACGCGCCTTAAGGAGAGTTTGGATCGATTTGGGAATTTTAGTGATTGGTGATTGGGGTCTACGGATCTAATTTGAAGTATGGGCTAATATGCAGCAAAGAGATCGGTCGTGCGAATGTGGTTGATTATTCAGAGTATAAAAAGGGGGTTTTACAGAAAGAATCCGAGAATTTAGGCGGTTGATTGCGCAAGGTTATGTCAATAAGAGATAAGGAATTCCGGTGAGTTCCAGAGTTGTGTAATAGTGGCTTCAAGCTAAGTGGGAGAGATATGATTGGGTTGCATGGTTAACTACTTGCGAGGTTTTTTGGTTGTTAGCATATTTTTGGGTTATTTCGACTACAGGAAAAGAACATAAGTGGTGATTTGAGCAAAGGAATTGTTAAAGGGTGCTATGGTTGGCCTTATTGGCTCATGTTCAGACTTGGGGAAGGATTCAGGATTTATGCCTTGTATAGATGCGGGTTTCAAGGGAAGTGATTATGCCGGGTGCTTCGTCGAAAGGATATTCATGTGCTATTAGATTTATGGAGTTGGTCATATTTGGGGCCAAGTCAGAGCGGGTAACTCTCAGTAACGGTCCTAGTGGATTCAAGAGGTAAAGTGTGGTGCCTAATGATTTCGAGCCTATAGGTACGGTCAGGATTCAAGCTTGGTAGCAGCTTATGAGAAGAGGCCCAGGATGTTCTATGATGTCTTGACTTGCACTGTAGCATTTGGGAAATACGAAATGATTCGTGGGATTTGAGACAGCATGGCCTCATGATTCAAGGTCACTCGGGATGAGTGCGGATGGAGTGTGCTATGTGTTGAATGGAGTTGTTATTGTTTCTACGGCAATCAGGGTAAATCGAAGGAAGATAGATTGGTTAGCCATAGTTGAGTTGGCATATTGGTGGAAGAGATCAGTTCCCTCAGCGTGATCAAGTTATGCGTGTGATTTATGGCGGTACGTGTGAGGCCTGTCGGCCGCCGTAATTGATGTTATTCAGGAGTATTCTACTGTTATGGCCCGTTATGTGTAGGCGGATCCTGGAAGGGCTATGGTGGCTTAGACCACTACTTAGATGTTTGCATATTCTCGATATTGATCAAATATATATATTAAGGTCCTAATATATATATATATTGATCGAATTGAGTACTTTATAGCTGCTGATGGTATAGCATCATGATATAGAACAAGAAGAAAAGAAAAAGAAAATACTCGTAATCTTTAAAGGAACTTTTTTGTTTCCAACAAAACTCTTAAGTAGATAAATTTTGATAATAAATAGCCACGTGAAGTTGAAAAAATTCGAGAATTGAGGCGTAGATCATTTCTAAAAAAATTTAATATACCATATTAGAAATTTGTTTACTCTCATTATAGAAGTTTTAACTTAATTATAATTTAATATATAATTTATTAATTATATGCAAAATAATATATATAAACAATAATCTTCCATTTTTTTCTCTTTCCCTCCTCCTTCTCATGCCCAAAATTCTATTCGTCCCAGTAGTTGCTGATGACGTTTGCCATGGTGCAATGCTACTTCACTTGTTATATATGTATATTATTTCATATGCTTATTAGCCCTTCCATCATATTCTCTTTTATTCTTTTTTTTTTTTTTTGAAAGAGAAAAGATCGTTGTTTTTTTCTTTTTGTATTTTTGTATTTTGGAATCAATAAACTAAAGAGTAGCGAGCATATGGAATAGGAAATTTGTTAATCCATATGGAATAGGAAATTTGTTAATCCATTAAAAAATTCATTAATATCCAGGCGTCAAAATCTGTTTTTATTTGGTTTGCATGTTACAAATTATTGAGAATATCTTTTGGAGTTTATATCTCAATTTTGAGAGAATTTGATGAAGATTCAAGTTGATATTTGATTTGTATTTCAGACTGAAACTCCAAGAAAAAGACATAAATAAATTATATATTTTTCGTATATCGGGTGTACAAACGCATGCAAAACATATACAACTAGCATAATTATATACAAATTGTATGTAAATCGTAGCCTTTTGATTTAATTTTGTAAAAAAATATTAGACACAAGTTGTATATAGGATGTATGTAAATTGTAGGTTTTGATCGGATTCGGTACAACAAAAAAATTATATTCAAGTTGTATATAAATTATAGCTTTTGACCGAATTTGTTTATATTTTATAAAAAAAAAAAAAATTACTTCATGTAAATAGAAAAATTCAGATAAACCATGTAAACATTATCCTAATTTTGTATCTCCAATATTTATGCATGGTTGTGTATGTGATTGGAATAATAATAATATGTGGGCCGTAGCAACACATGTCCATGTAGGGGTGGCTAGCCTGGGACGGTGTTGGATATGGTAAGGTCAAAAACGGATAATGGAAAAACGGATAAAATATTCGACCCAACGCATATCTAATACAGATAAAAAATGAGTTAATCGGTAATAATATGGATATCCATATTATTCATGTCTTCTTGAAATATAAGCACTTTTCGGAGAGTTTCTAGTATCCCTAATTTAAGATCTCCCAATTTGAATCTATGCAAAAATAAAGGTTAAACTCATTGATTATTTATTGTTTAAGTGGATAGTATGAATCTTATTCATATTTGACCCAATTTTTTTAAATCATTATTCAACTAATTTCTTAGTGGGTATGGATGAATAATTATTTTTTAGGTAATTTACCTAGCTATACTATAATAGAAACTTATTTACCATTTTTATTAAGGTTCATACTTAATTACATTGTATATTTATATTTATTTTTTTATGTACAAAACCATAAAAAAGAAGAAAATGGAAAATTCTTTAAATTTAGCATCACATTCTCTCTCTTTCACAACCTTCCCCCCCCCCCCACCCACCCCCCCCCTCCTTCCTTAAATTTCATCTATTTTTCAAAGGACTTCACATCCCACTCCCACTCCCACATATTTACCACCCAAAATCGGTACTTCTCTCACAATGCAGGCGAAATGGCGAAAAATTTGCCTCTATAATTGCAGCAGCAAAGAGTTTTTCATTGACATCCATTAAAAAGTTTTGAAACTTTGAATTTAATATTCAGAACTTACGAATTTGTGATTGTTGGATTGGGCGTTCTTGCAAATGTCGAAGAATATACCTTGTAGTTTACATCTCAATTTTGAGAGAAATCGGTTAAGTTTTGAGTTGGTTTTAGGTAAAATTTTAGATTGAAACTCGTAGAAAATAAAGTGCAAGAATTGTATGATAAATATATCACAATTATCTTAGAATTGTGTCACAGTTGTATCAAAATTGTACATTACTTGTATCTGATACATCAATATCTAAAAAGAATATCTGATCTAATGCCAATACGATATTATATCAGTTTTTAAGTTTAGAGTTGTGATTGAAATACAAAAATAGATCACAATGTGTCACAATTTTTCAATAATATATCGCAGTTCGCATCACAATGTATGATAATTATATTGGTATTGTATCATGTATTATCTTAGGAATTAATGTATCAAATATAAGTTAGACATATTTGTGATACAAATATAATACATTTTATGATACAATTATATTTTAGGTACTGATGTATCAGATACAATTATGATACAATTCCTGCAACTTCTTCAATATGAATTTTCGCCTAAAATCAAGTATATCCTTAACCAGTCTCCCTCAAAATTGAGACATAAAATTCAAAGGATATTCTTAATCACTTGAAAGAACACCTAATCCAAACAAATCACAAAATTATAGAATCGGAATATCAAATTCAAAGCTTAAATTTTTTTTTAATTTAATGTTTAGCAGCTATATTAGTTTACATTAATAAAATTTAATGCAATAAACCATATGTATGCTGATGAGTGCCAACCATTATGTGTGATTTTTGTGGAGACCTAAAAGCTACATGAATTGATTGCATAGAATAAGAGGGAGAAAGGGGATGAGAGAATAAAAGGAAAGAATACAATTGAATACTTAATTGAAGGTATTAATAACGGATGTGAGAGCATTTTAAGGAATTGTATGTATATAAAAATTGTTAAAAAAGTTAAAAATTATTTATTGAAAACTGGAAAAAATGTTAAATAAGTCCTTATTATAGTATATAATTTTTTTTTTAAAAAAGAAAATCATTTTGCGAGCACTATGTCCATGTTTGAGCCAGATTCGAAGTCGAAACAAAGTCGAACTGTTCTGTTAGAAAGATGTTGGGCTTATCAATGGTATTCCCATCCAAATCCTAGTCAACATAGGACATATTGTACTTGTTTTAAATGTCGTCAAAGTCGACCCAATAAGCAATTGTTTTCTCTAGCCCTAGCATAGTTACATCCTCTTCTTTCTAAGCTATGGCAAACTGGGCAGAACTGCCTCGTGACCTCCTTATTCCGATTGCGCAGCGTATTAAGGTGATTGAAGATTTTATTGCTTTTGGTGTTGTATGTACTTCATGGCGAACTGCTGCCCCCAAGCATAATTTTGATGTGCTTTCGCCCCAAGTTTCGTTGCTAATGTTGGCCGATAAAGATGATGATTATCGAGAATTTTACTCTCTTTCCAAGCAAATAGTTTCACGCATATTTCTCCCCGAAGTTAGAGGACGAGCGTGTTTTACATCGGAAGGATGGATCTGCACCGCGGCATACACTGGAGAGGTAAATTTGTTGCATCCTTTTTCCCGTACCCAAATCCAACTTCCTCCACAAGAGGTCTTATTGGCTTTTGATTGTGACAATCCAGAGGGAGGATATCCGTGCATCGACCAAGCTGTGTTATCTGCTAGCCCTTCCCTTACATCTGATTATGTACTGGTGGTTTCTTTTTATGGTTATAAAAATTGTTTGGCTTTTTGGCGACCGGAGACCTTAGCTGGACTAATATGAAAATCGACAGATCTACTGTAAATGGTGGAGTTGCCAGTCTAAAATACTATAAGGGTAAATTTTATGCCGTGTATTACTCTGGCCAAGTCTGGGTTTATAATGTACCAATTGGAGAGCCACGTATTCTTGCTTGGCGTCAGGATGATATGTTTAAACGGCCGTTAGTTCAGTTCTACCTAGTAGAGGTATCAGGTGCACTATTATTGGTTACCCGATTTGCCTCAGAGGGTCCAAATGGTGGTCCTGAAACCTTGAAATTTAGAGTATTTGAATTAGATGTAATCAAAGGTGAATTGAAGGAGATTAACACCTTGGGAGAATCATCAATTTTCTTGGGCCGTAATGGAGCAAGTTATATTGACTCCTCTAAATTTATCGGAGTCAAGCGTAATCAAATATATTTTAGTGATGATTGGACCGATTATTACAGCACATTAGAAGGAGGGGGTGGAAGAGATATGGGGACTTACGATCTTGAAAGTGAAAAAAATTGATTCTTTTTATCCTGGATTGTCACTAAGTCCTATTTGCACGCCAACTTGGGTCGCACCATCATTCTGATAATGTGAATGCACTCACCTCCATGTCTTTGAGATGTTTTTTTCTCTTTGCAAGTTATTGTCTCTTTTCAGTTTGGTGATAATCTTATTTTCCAAATTAATAGTTAAGTGATCTGTTTATTTTCCTTCAATGTAATCTTGAATGTGATGTATGAATGCTGTCGTACTTGTAAGTTTCTTCAATTCACATAAACCCCGGTAAATGTTTCTTGACACTGCAAAATAGGTTGATTTTAGGCCCCACCAATAATTAACTGACATAACAATAATTCAAATACATAAAACGCAGTATAATACTGCGAATTACTTTGAAAAATTGTACACCCCAAGGTCGGACTTGCCTTATTTATAGGCGCTTCAATTTTATAAAAATTCATTCAACACTTAAACTTCAAACATACGTTTATTCTCTCTTCTCCTTATCAATCAATTTTTTACAATGTCTGAAGTGCAAAAAATAAGGGTTTCAATGTATTGGGAGGGGGGAGGGGGGTGAGATTGTGGTGGAGAATAACTCTGTGAGGTATAGCTCACCTCCACAGTGTCATGTTAAATTGCCGCTTAATATGGAGTACGATACATTGCTATCGTTGTTACGTAAAAAAAATGAGTGAGTGGAGGCGTTCGGTTAGCCTTAAAGTAACCGGTAGATTTCCTTATTCAGTGACTCCGCAGGGGTTTGCTTATTATTCTGAGTTTAACATCGAGGATGATGAAACTCATAGAGATTTTTTGCGGATTCCGGATGAATACAAGGAATTTATTGTAATAAAATTATTGAAAATGTACGTCAAGGTGGAAGACGTTCCTAGTAATGAGGGCGTACATAGCAGGGATAACCCCCAGTCATCGGGTGGTTATTCTGGAGCAGCGTTTGCCGGACAGATCGGAGATGAAAGAGCTTGCCTTGATTTAAACTTGTCACCACAGGCGAATGAGCAGCCAGAAAATAATGTTTCCACTATTGATGACTTCATCGACACAAACAATTTGATCCAGTACCTGCTCAATTAAGAACGGGTCACAAAAATCAAAGCGTGGCTGATAATACTCACTTGCAGGTACAAAGCAGATATCATTGTGAGCACGTGATTTTTGTCACGCTTAAATTAATCCTACAGAATTCATTTGAATTAGAATTTTTCTTTTAGTATTTGAATTTTTAGGAATTAATTGCACGATTTTGTGTTTTGTTTGCATTTTGTGTGCATTTTTAGGTGTCATAAAAAATAAAAATTACAAAGAATAGCATACTTACATTTAGGACCTAATTCTAGATTTTTATTAATTAAACATCATTTAAAATAAGAGAAAAATAACAAAAATAGTCTTTTTACAATTTTAAATTTTACATTTTACATTTTTTGATCTAGTTTCCGTTTAAATTAGGAATTAGTTAATTAGTATCATCTTAGATTTAATTTGGGTCTTTTACATAATAAAATCAGAAAATTCAAAAATAATAAGTAAAATACAAAAATAAATACAAAAGGAAAAAAAAAAGAAAAGAGTAAAAAGAATAAAAAAGAATGGTCTTGATAAAAGACCAAATTTTGGGCCAAAATCCAATTCTAAGCCCAAAAGTCACCTAAAACCGGACCAAATCACAAGCCCCAAACAGCCCAACCCGGTCCAAACCCCTTTCCCACTTAAACGACGCCGTTTTGCTCGCAACAAATCTCAGCCGTCGAGGTTTACTTGATCGAACGGCTGAGAAGCTGGGGTGTGTGAGTATATATATGTCCAAACGATCCTAACCCCCTCAGGACCCCCTTACCCCCCTCGTCTCTCCCATCTCTCACCAGAAACCCTAACGCCACCGCCCTTCCGCCGTCCGCCGCCGGCCGGAAATCGTCTCTGCCGGCGGCGAGTCTCCAAATTACCCAAAAAATACACCCCAGTCTCTTCTCTTCCTCCTCTTCTCATATCTACCATTAGTTTCGCTCAAATCCCAACCCAGCCTCTCGAATATTAGATCAAAAATCCGGTGAAAACCCTAACTCATCCAAACTCACCCAAATTAATATCATACAATCTCCCCGACCTCCTTTATCCGAATCCCAACCCAAAACCCTTCAAATCCGCCTTCAAATCTTCATGTCTTGGATCTAGGGTTTCAACTACATCTGTTCTCATGCGTTTCCAGATAATGTTACGTGTTTGTTTTGTCAAAATGAGCACATAATATTATCTAGAAGCTTTATCAGAAGTCAATCGAGTGGATATCAAATCCGAGTTCAAAGGTCTGGGTTCGAGGCCAAATTGGTAAGTTCTTCATGTTCTGTCCATTTCCTTCTTCTCCTTCTTGCATTATGTTAAGCTAGGATCTCGAATTAGCTCCGAAATTATTTTCTCGAAGTTTGATCTGTGTTCATTTAGGGCTATTTGGGTCAATATAGATTTTAGGTTTTAATTTGCTGCATGTTCAGTCATTTAGTCGGATTAGTGTAGTTTAACATAGTGATTAGTATTTCTGCCTCTGCTTAGTGTAGTTGACAGTCGTTTGTTGATTTGAGAATTCAATAGTTTAATTATTAGCCTATTTTCTTTTGATCTGTTTTTAATCAATCTTGTGTGAATTGTTTGTTTTAGTTTAATATGTTTTAGTACTTCTTTTGGTTATTGTTGATAGGTTGTAATCAATTTACCTTGGTTCAGTTAGGTTAATCAATGGTTGTTGTTAATAATACCTCAGTGTAATGCTCAGTTCAATTGGTTGTTAATTAGATGAATTTGGCTATAGCGGATAGATTCAATTAGGGTAAAAAGAGGACTGAATTCATTTGGGACTAGGATGGTAATTTCATGGGGTTCAGGGGTATTTTAGGCTTTAATAATAGGATGGAATGCTGTAGATTAGAATAGAATTCCTTAGAATCTTCTAGAATAGGGCTCAAGTTAGATTTTAGAAAACTTAGGATAGTAGCTTGGGTAACAAGTTAGAAAATAAGGGACTAATCTGAAAATAAATAAGGGACTGCATTGTAAATAGAGGATTTTAGGGTTGCCCTCCCTTATGCCTATAAAATGGCATGTGCATTGCCTTGAATGACAAGTTTGGGAGCCCCTAAAAGTTCCCCCAAAAAATATCCTCTCAATTTCCAGACCTGAAATCTGAAACTCGAAAATCCAAAAACCAAAAAAATCAAACAGTAGAAAACTAAAAACTCTTCCATGGAAGGCTCTTTGTTCTAGTTTGTTTGCATCTGAAACAGCATAAATTTGCTCTTAAGTATTCAGTTAATTGAGGTTTAGCAGCTCTCGAGGTCCTTTGAGTCGTATCTGGTTTGATCCGAGTTGGTTGACTGGTTGTTTGCTAGAATCGTTAATTACTTGGTTGATTTTAAGCTGGTGGTGTCATTTTGGGTGTAAAATTGCATTTGCTTTCAATATCAAATCCTCCTGTTGCCTTGAGCTACTGAATCCTACTGTTAATTGATGTCTGATACTGTGTGACTTACTCCTTTTCCTCTGTTCATTCAAATCCAGGTACATGTCTCAAATTCCTCTTGATGTAGCCTTTGGAATGGAAGTGGAATAAAATAAAGCTTTGCCTCCTGATAAATTGTTCGTTTGATTGTTGTATATCTATAGATGAATAGGTATTAGTGATATATGTTTCATCTAGTGTAGGTTAGGCTTGATTTTGGACTTATATTCATATGAACACTGTTGTGTATTAATCAGGACTGCTTGTGATTTGTTTTGTAATTAAATTGGATAGACTAGGACTGCTTGTAGACTATTAAGTTTTTCATGAGTTAATGTTCATGTATAGATTGTAGACTATTGAAATCATGATCCGTTGTTAGCCTTGATAATTCTATGTGTAGTTAATCCTTAGGCATTTGAACTGAACTTGGTAATTCCTTGTGTGATCTGAAGTTGAAGGATTAAACTGCGTTTTATAAATCAATTGCGCATCATTTAGTTAATAATTAGATTGCAGGTGTTTTGTTAATCCACTTTCAGCATTTATATTGTAACTGTTAGGTTAATTAAAACCCAGGAAAATCTTAAAATGATACTAACTTTTCACATCTAGAAGGGTAGACATTAACAGGTGAACCCAAATTAGCAATTTGTTTGACACAATTATGCATATGTTAGCAGACTTTGGGCTCATTATAAGCCCATTCCTGTTGGCGTCCGTAACTGTGGCCAAATCATGGGCCAACCTCTCAGAGGCCCAACGTTGGCAGGGTATTTGTTCAGATTTTCGCAAACTGATGGTTTACAAGCTTGGGCCAAAATTTCAACGCTCAAAAGAATTTGTTATAAGTCAAAACCTTTTAAAGATTATATAGGAATATGGGGATTAATTCGCAAATATAAATTTGGGTCTCGAATTAGGTGGCGGGTTCAAACTAAGAGGGTCCTCCCTTTTGTTTGAATTCGGGCTTGAACTTGAGACCCGAATTTATAAATGCAAATTAATTAGACCCTTTTAGAGACAAAATAAATAGAAAATCATAGGTCACTTTAGTTTGGTCTTTTAATAATAAAGTGAGACGAGCCTCGCCAAACAAAACACATAAATTGTGGGGCCCTTGATAAATAGCTATATTAAAATACTTAGAATCCGGGATGGGCCGTTTAGCGAATTTCACTGCTTTCCCCGAAGATAATAAGACGTTAGTCACTTTAGGCACGTTTTTAATAATTTTACCTTCTTAAACACGGGTGTGCATTTCATGCAACCCAAATCCAAATCCCAAAACATTGAATAAGTATGTGTCGAGGATCCGGGTGCATTTCATGTGACGTGATCCGGAAACACGTTTTTAAACGACGTTCACTTTCTTAAAATATTTTCAACTAAAAGCGGTTAAATAATCATAAAATTGCACTATAAGTTTAAGCATGTATAAAGATCAGATTTTTAGCCATTTATAATAATTTAAGCGACCGTGCTAGAACCACGGGATCCGAGG